GCCATTACCAGGACACCTAACAGGCGGAGAGCTCTCTGCGTCCTGTGATTTGAATTGGATATTCGGATAAATCCTATGGCAATTGTGCATCCTGTGGCAAACGTCATTCCAGATTCACATGTCAAGTTCGTTACGCTTTATGTCATACCGCGGCAGTGGAAGGACGCTGTCATTGTTCCACTGCCCAAAGTTGGGGATAGGAGTGACCCTGGGAACTACCGACCAGTCAGCCTTACTAGCGTTGTGGGTCACCTGTGCCACCAACAACACGGTTTCCGGCCGGGTCGCTCATGCCTCTCAAACCTGCTACTTGCGCGTAATGCTGGACTGAGGACAAGACCAAGGGACACGAAACGGACATCATCTTCGTGGACTTCAACAAAGCCTTCGACACGGTGCCGTACGACCTACTTCTGCGAAAGCTGTCCAACCTAGTTATAGGTGTGGTAATGCGGAATTGGCTGCGAGACTTTCTCATCGATCGGAAATTCTGCGTACGTGTTTGCAAATCGCTCTCTGCGTGGTATTCCGCTCCCAGTGGGGACCCCAAGGCTCGGTTCTTGGTCCATTGTCCTTCGTGGTATATGTGAACGACCTGCTTGGTCAACGGTGCGGCTCACGTTACCATGCGTCACCCCCCCCCAGGAAGTTTTCCTAATAAAAATATGCTACTCATGAGTAGTAAAAATATAACACCTAACGTTCTACAAAAACAGAGAAATAATAAACGAAAAACATTGCAAATTGATATCAATTTGTACTTCACATGGATATAATTGCGCTACATGTTGTAAATAAACGTCAGTGTCATTATGAAATGTTTGTATAGAAAAATTTAACCACAATCTATACTGTACCTCATCCAAATGTTCCCATATAACATCACCAACTGACCCCGTGACGTTTTTCAATCGTCGTTTGATATGACTCGAAAATGATTCCACATTATTTGTGTGCACTCCTGTAATTGGGTTCACAAAATCGTCACTGTTTAACACACATATGAATGTATCCAAGAGAACAAAGATATATATGCAGCCCACTGATCGATATATATTGTACTTCCCGGCCGTATTTAGCGTTGGACAATGGGCAGTAACACTTTCGCAGAGCGATTCTCCACTCTTTGAAAGTATCCCTTTTTAAGGTTTCGATCGTACATACCGAACATCCAAACGGTAGGTACCGGCCGACCTCGACCGTATTTACTTCTTACGGTCACACTTTCGTCAAACTCCACGATGGAACCAACTCCGCCGAGCTGTGTGGATAATGAGCACATGATAGACGAACAGACATCACGACAGTAGGTATACCACTGAATGGCACTTTTACGTGAAACGTTGGCCATTGCAGCAGCACGTGTGACAGGTTCCTCCATCACAAAATAGAAAATTAGTTCCATCAAAGTACTCAGAGGAAGCCGGGATTTCTCGAAAAGGGTTCCATGACGAATGGAAGTTGTCCCCTTGCAACGGGCACAGCGAAAAGCGAAACCATCCTGGCTTCGGGAAAACTCCTGTAAGTTCATACTATGGCCACATGCACAAGTCCGTACTCTAGGCAGTAAATGCCGGTACTGCATGTACTCAACACACGCTGGGCCTTGTATTTGGTGCAGCATTTTGTACATGTTGGAACCGACCGACATGTTTCAAGGTCAAATTAAAACAAATGAAGCAAAAACACAATTCTTCATTTCATAAAAATATACATTGAAATATATATTAAAAATATCAAAAAAATATTGCAAATTTTTACAAATGCCCGGTTTTGGCTTGAGACAAGAATAAGGAAATCAGAGGGGGGGGGTGACGGATGGTAACGTGCGCCAACTGTGCAGCCCATCCCTCATATATGCGGATGACATCAAAATCTCGCGTACAATCAAGGATCCGAATGATGGAAGTTGTCTTCAAGCGGATTTGAACAACCTGGCTCAGTGAGCGGACACCTGGGCTCTTCCAGTCAACACAGTAAAGTGTGCTCACCTGCATTTGGGGCGTACTGATTCAGAGGTAGTATACAACTTCCAGGGAACCGCATTGCGCGGAACATCTGCTAACAAATTAGGAGAACAGAGTGTGACGCTGTGTTGGCAGGGAACACAAA